ACGTCCCTCTCATCTCCGTGGCCGTTCGCTTGGTGGGGGCTGGACATCCTCGGGCCCTTCCCCCTCGGTTCATACCAGAACAAGTACCTCATCGTGGGAGTCGATTACTTCACCAAGTGGATCGAGGCCGAAGCTCTGGCCAAAATCACCGCCCACAACATACTCCGATTCTACAAACGCAACATCCTCGCCAGATTCGGGGTACCGCTCGCCATTGTCACCGACAACGACACATAATTCACGGACAAAAACTTCCGCGACTTCGTCACCAAACTCGGAACCAAACATCACTTCGCCTCGGTCGAACATCCTCAGACAAACGGCCAGGCGGAGTCGGCGAACAGAGTTATACTCAGAGGACTCAGACGACGACTCGGCGACGCCAAACGAGCATGGGTCGAAGAACTCCACAGCGTCCTCTGGGCATACCGTACTACCCCCCACTCAACCACGGGGGAAACCCCATTTCGCCTCACGTATGGAACCGAGGCTGTGATACCGGTCGAAATCCGCGAACCATCCAGACGAACGGAAGCTCCCCTGGACACCGACGACAACGACGGCTCCCTCCGAGAAGAGCTCGACCTCGTCGAAGAAATCCGCTCAGGAGCAGCTCTCCGGGAAGCCCGGCTGAAGCAACAAGTCACACTTCGCCATAACAGCAAAGTCATAAAACGCGATTTTCAAACAGGCAACTTGGTTCTACGCAGAAACCAGAAAGACTCCCACGAGGGCAAACTGGCTGCGAACTGGGAAGGGCCGTACCGAGTCCGGGACAAAACGGAGCACGGGGCCTATTACCTCGAAAACCTACACGGTGAACAACTAGCTCGACCATGGAATGTCGCGAAACTTAAGCGGTACTACAGTTAAAACATTGCCCGCGACGACCCATCGTCCCGACCACTGGGGGGCGACATGGTACCACCGCACACCCCCGCGTCCACCAGCGACCAAAGAAAAGCAAGCCCTGCCTCTCGTGTGCGCGGACAGAAGGCCTTGCTCGGCAGGGAACACCTCGACCGAGGTTCCCCGCCGTCGTACCAAAAGAGGCAGGACGCCCAGCTCGCGATGGGCCGTCCACGCCCCGTGGAGAACTACCCCCGAAACGGCCCGGCTACGTCGCCGGCCAAACCGGCCAGTTCCCTGCACTACCGGTAGCAATTTGTCGAGCTAAACACACCGAGCGCACACTTAGAAAATTTACAAGAAATGTCATACACATCAGAAGCATTCAAACAAATACGAAAAACGAGCATAAAACGACATGCAAATAACGAGCGCACACTTAGAAAATCCACGATAAATATATTAAACAAAAGCGGGCACCAGCCCAGTAGTCAATGGTACAAATACAGAGCACGCAGGCCCAAAGAAAAGAGATAACAAACATCGGCACGCAGGCCACAAAAACAACGAGCACGCAGACCCGACAACCTATACTTCCTCATCCGCCTGGTCAGCAGCCACGGGTTCCTCCTCGGGGATAACAAGATAGGGATCTATCACCTTCCCATCAACAATCTCGTGGTACGGCCCTATCCCGTCCACGGCCAGCACGACACCAGGGTTGGCGACCTGAATCTGCTCGACGGCGTTCTTGAACCCGACCTCAACAGCTTCCAGACAATCGCTCTCCAACACCCGGATACGAGCGATCAGGTCAGCACGGGTGATTAACCGTCGATCCCCGTCAGTCTCGTCCTCGGCCAGACGAACAGCGCTGTCCAAAACCTCTGTGCGAACCTTCAGCGCCTGCACCTCGGCCGTCGCTGTTCCCAGTTTTTCCTCCAGCGAAGCCACCTTCCCCTCAGCGCCCTCTGCCCGTTTCCGCTGCTCGGCAACGTCCTTCTGGCTCTTCTCCAACTCCTCAGTGAGCTTGGCCAACCGCGACTGCGCGAAGGTGAGATCCCCTTGCAGTTTGGATAGCTCAGCAGCAGAGCACCCCTCCTCGTTCAGCACAAGGGCCGTCGTGAACGTCCGCATCATTGCGGCCAAGTCCTCAGCCAGGACACGACGACGGGTCTCTCGATCAGCCTGACGAACAACCTTCACCTCCCCGGCGGAAACAGTGGGAGAACGGGCACCGTGAAAATATCCCGGATGCTGGTGGCAGGGAGGGACGACATAACCTTCCTCGACGGCGCCGACCGTCAGATCCACCACCCGAGGCTCCTCGGACCTCTGCCTCTTCGACGCTCCTTGAGACACAGGAGATTGGCTCTCTTGAGGCGAAGAGGACGAAGTTTTCCCCCCCGGCATCGCGACCTCCTGTCCGACCAGCTGGCTCACCCTCGTCCTTGGGGCTGCGGCATTCCTAGTGGCGCGCAACTGCTTCACCCGCTCCTCGACGGAAGACATGTTCGCTGCAAAAATAAAGAAAAGAGTTAGCGACGATCAAAAAACCCCGACCTCGGGGGGGAAACGAACATTCCTACCTAGGTAATCCAGAGCGGCCGCCCCGGTCGCACAACCGAGCAAAGTCTTAGTATTTATCAAACGCTTCTTGGTGCGTACGTTCCCCTGAGCGTCAAGGACATACCGACCGTCGGGCGTCACCAGCTTCGACGGAGGGAGAGACCGCACAAAGGCAATTATTTTCAAATAGGCGGCCATGTCCTTCTCCTCGAGGGTCCCCGCCCGGACGATATACCTATCCGTCCCTCGACTGAAATGCTCTGCGGTCCACAACAGATGTATCTTAGGAAGCCACGCGCGGAACCGCTGGCCATCTACCGTTCGCTCGCCCTCGTCGAAGAGAGTGTCCGAGCCGTGCTGCGTGATCGGCTTGACGAGGTAGAACCGGTTTTTGAAGTCTTTGACAGAATCGCTATACGCTTTGAAAATTTTGGTCGATTGCTTGAAGGAGACCCATCCGTGGCGGCCGTGCACCGTCTGCCGCTGCAGATGGAAGATACGGAAGAATAACGGCACCGTCGGCTCCACCGAGAGGTAAAAACACACCACCTCGAAAGCCCGGATGAAAGCCAAAGCATTGGGGTGCAGCTGGGACGGGGCAAGACGCAGCCAGTCAAAAAGCCCCAGATGGAAGGCGGAAAACGGTAACCGGAGCCGAGCTTCTTTAAAATAGAATTCATGCATCGGGAACATCCGCCGCCCATATCGCGAACAAATGCGGTGATGTTCTTTTGGCCGGTACACCTGCCAGTGCAATGTTTCTCCTATGGGCGTGTCCTCGACCGTGGCGTACACGTCGGACGCGTCGGCCACAAAGCAAGAAGGGGTAGAAAGTGGCTCCTCGGTCGCCCACTCCTCGGACGGGGCAATACGCTCGTCGTCATACTCCGGAACCTCAGGTTCGTTGTCTTCAACCATTATCCCCGGCACCAGAGCCGACATCTACACCTGAAAGCAGAGGACATCAGTGAATTCGATAGCCAGGATCAAATCCACCCTTCCACCACAAGTCAAGTGAAAGGGCGACAAAGGCCGGGAAGCGACGAGCAAACACTCGCTCCCCGTCTACCCTCCTCGGGGATCAAAGACCGACCCCTCGCCCCCTCTCGGGACGGCCATCGGAGAAGGTACTTCTCCCCGGGGAATTCATCGGAGAAAACCCCCGTCCTCGGGGCATTCATCGGAAAAAGCTCCCGTCCTCGGGGCATTTATCGGAACCAGCCTACCGTCCCCGGGACATTCATCAGAAAACTCGCCAGACGCGGCGGAACTCGCGTCCCTCCTCGGGGCGTTCATCGCGCCCCGACCACACGTTCCAATTAAACGACGAAAATAAAAAGGGAGGGAAAAGAGGAACTCACTTGTAACGGCGGTGGACGGAAGAAAAGATCAACGGTACGGCGGCGATCGGCGGTAAGCGGCGGACGAGCAGAGACGATAAAGCTTAGCAGAGAGAAAAGTAACAGAATGAGCGGGGACCTCCATATTTATAACCCGACGCGGGACTCGAAGCGACCCTAGGCTCATTAATGACATGGGGTAGCCACCCCTACGACCGCTTAACGCAAGACACGTGGCGGCAACCTGACAGTCGCGTCCCTTCGCCTGCCTCCTCCCCGTTCTGCCGACGACCGGAGATCTTCGTACGAGTGCCCGCTCCAGATGCGACGACCTTAAGTCCTCGCTCTTTCCCCAGAGCTTCGACTTGGGGGGCTCCTGTTCCGGTATGGGCCTAACCTCGGCAGGCCCAATACCGCGTGCGGCCCAACAAGCGAACCGGGCACGCCAGGCACGCGCCCCCTTCGAGACGAGCAGGGCAAGCTGCCGAGCACAAGCTACGTCTCCACAACCTTTCGTCGTCCACCACGCCGGACGGGCAGAACCGCCCGGGCTCCCCTCCGCGGGGAGAATAACGTGCTCGGCGCACGTTCTCCACGTGCTCCCCTCCGCGGGGACACGTCATCGGCCAACTGCCCACCTCCGAAAGAGCAGGTCAAACCCACTTTCCGGAGATCTAGGAGCAGTTGAACTAGGGCGAAGACCACGTCCTGGTCTTCACTACGCCACGTAAGCCCTAGCAGTCATTAGGGTTGGGCCTGGTCATCCAGCCCACCTCGAATGACCGTTGGCCCAGCGCTGGGGTCTCTCTATAAATACCCTCTTCTCCAAGAGGGTCAGGTAACTCTTCTTGCCCCTTTTCTGTACTGTTGCTTCCACTCTGCCCAACTTCTTACTTTGGCATCAGAGTGTCTTGCAGGTACACCCCCCTCCTCCTTCTTACCCCGGTGAACAGGTAGCAGCCCAACAGTGTGTGGCCAGTCCGTGATCCCCTCCTGATCAGGTCAGATCAAAAACCAAAAAATCCCTTAATAGCATAAGTGATATACCTATTAACCCTAAGTAATTTATATTCCTATGAATAAGAATACCTATGTATAGTTGGTTAAAACTTCAAACAAACATGGGAATGTCGAATTTCCAATCTTAAATTCTCAAAAATACACTTTGAATTCATCAAACATGCACCCCAAAAAAGTTTGTCTCATATTACACAAATGTGATCTAAAATTGATGTATATGGATCATCTTTGTTGCTGCTGCTCAGAAGTTGACGGTGAGGTTATCCTATTATCAACCGATGCAGAAACTCCCCATCTCCCATTCGGCTCTCTGGGCTCTACGACTTTAATAGACCCATCTGACAATCCAACGGCAAATTGATTTGGCTCCTGTGGGTGTGCTGCAATCACAATCGGGTATATATTTTGGCTGCAAACCAAACAGAAGGTTAAGAAATAAGCAAAAAATTTATGTCTGAAAGCTGCTGCTCAACTATCATCACCATGAAACATGAATTGTGATATTCAGCGCTAATCAAATAATCATCTTTTATGAGGATGCTTGTCACATGTCGTAAAGTAAAACACGGAATGAAACATTATAATCACCTATCTGGCGATGGTTGGTGTAGGTATGCAGATGGAGTTATACGACATCTTGGTCTCAGGCTGTCAGCATCAAATACTCCAATATTTCCATCAGTGAAGGCAGCATAAATTAGTTGGCTGTTGCAGGAATATGTTGCATAGGATATGGAAGTATCTTGTGGCGCCCACTAGAATCCAAACAAACAAAAGTAACTAACTCGTTCACCAGGAATAGAAAATAAAATAGAGTTGCGTTTAGAGGTTTTATATCAGAGAAATGTTAGTGACACTATCTACATGGATACCACTAAAATGAGAGTACACCTGGCTTTTTAGAAAGTCATTTGCAAGCATATAAAAATGTGATGATGGATTCACTCTTTCTATTAATACTTTGGGAGAGGTAGAAACTTACCAGCCGAATCAATTCCATTTTTGAACCATCATATAATGCTAGCTGTGATTCATGGCATACCAGTAAGTGCACTTGATCAGAATGGAAATATACTCGAGTATCTCCCACGGGTTCTCTTCCAGCAGGCAATTGAAGGGATAGTGTTTTCTTATTATCCCACGAATCAAGACGCCAAAAGCAAATCTATGAAAATTAAAAAGTGGTTGCAGTGAGGAAGTATGAAATAGTGCAATGGATAAATTAAGGTAAAACTCCAATAACAGTTCAAAGTTGACAAAATCACAAGACACCAAGATTGTCATGGAATGCATGATCGAGCATACCTGAGCATCAGCAGAAGATGAAACCAAGACGTTTAGGTGAGTTGAAAAAGCTAAACCAGTAATACGATTCTGGTGACCCTTCAATTTACATGTGATCTAAGAGCAAAGAGGGCCACGTCACAAAATGATTCTTGAAACAATTACAAATTCAAGTGCTGCTTAACTAATTACCTCATCCACTCTAACATTGTAAAAACGAATAGTTGCATCTTCCATTCCAATTGCAATAATATTATTGTCTTGAGGATGAAACAAAAGAATGGTTGAAGACGGGGGAGGTGACATAAAAGTTGCCATCACCTGAAATTCGGCAATAATTTGTTGAAAGTATTGAGAAACAGCAGAATAGAATCTAAGAAGGATGCATACACTATAGTAGCTTTTGATTGTCAAGTTACCTTAAAAGTCATCAAGTTGAACAGTGAAATTTTTCCTCCGCAAGCAGACAAGACATAAGAATCATTCTTTGAGATTGCCATGCAAGGAACTCCTTCAGAGTTGTCTGGGACATCATTATTCATGAGAGCACCACTAGGTGGTTGCCAATGTTGGGGAACAATACTGGCCGTGGCCTTTAAAACCCACAGAAAAAGAAATCAGAAATATTTAAAAGAGTACACGTGTTGCAGACACGGAAACTGTCGGGGAAATTAAATGGATATCAAGATATGCATGCAATAATATTAGCAATAGGAAGATGTTTCTGTATTTGTAAGTCTCGGCATACAATCAGCTTTTCAAAAAAGAAAAATACACTCACCTTTCCACTGGGATTCTGCTCATTACGGTTCCATTTCCACATCTTCTGAGTCCCTTTAGCACCAAGAGCCACAAGGTCACACCCAGAATTGGTGTAATTAAGACAAACAACCTAGACATGTATGAAATTTTTGGCCTAATAAATTGTTGCTATATAATAGGAATACACCTCGTAAACACCTTTTTCAACAAAGGAAAGGGGTAAGGAATACCTTGTTAGTAGGGTCAGTAGTATCAGGCAGAGTAACTACACGACAATGAACAGGGTCAACTATTTCTGTAAGATCAGTTTTAGATTTATCAGCTACGTCATCCAAACTTCTTTGCTTCTCTATGATTCTGGCCATAGAATCAACTCCATTCTGGAGCGAATAACAAAATGAGTAAGTCAGTTGCATACATAATTGTCAAACAGACTTGAACTGCAGCAGAAAACTATGAATAGCAAACTTTAGAAAACTGATGCAGTTTGTGAATTGTAAGATTAATTCTACCATGTTTGATCCCCAAAAAAGTTAAAAATCTAAAAAAAAATAAAAATAAGCATCAATATCCATTTTAATTGTTAACTGCTCACAAGGATAGGCAGTGCTGCAGCAGTAGAGCTTCTGTCAACACGTTCTGCTTTATTGATGTGCTGGTTGATATTTGAAACCTTAAATAATATTGAAAAAAAATCAATTTCTGGATGCGATGCCATTAAAGCCATTAAATGATATTTGGTTAAGTAAAAAAACCTTTGTCTCCACCAGTGGTTTGGGTGCTTTGTAAGACCGGGCGTCAATGGATCTTAAGTACCTCGTACCATCAGTATTAGCAAGGACTTTAATACCACCATCTGCTGTAGTTACAGCAAGTATATTTCCTTCCTTGTTGAACCTTAGACGAGGGAGACTCTGATGAAGGACCACAACTATGTCAAACAATTCACTCCAAAAGACACTAAAATATGAAAAGTACAAGCAATACTCACAGGAAGACCACCCTCAGCATCTATACTTGTCAAAACATAGATACTGTTCATTTCCCAAAACTTAATTTGGCTATCTTCACCAGCAGCCAAAAAGCGGTTCTTTGCTGTGTCAAACTGCACAACACCGTTAGATTTTTTTCTAAACCCAGAATATGTTCTCTTCACTGTACCTTCACTTTCATTCCATTCAAGTAGGATAGAATCACCTTCCTTACTTGTCCCACATGAAAACAATCTAAAATAAGAAAAAGCAGTTACAGATCATATATGAGTGAGAAAAATGAAAGAATAAAGAAAAGAACAAAACTATCAAGTAAGAAATTTTTTTATATTCTAATCCCTTTCTTACCTACTTCCATCAGCACTATAGAGGATTGTAGTGCACCCCTGTCCTGGAGCATCATAGTCAACCCTGGGGCGATCGCTATCATACAGCCAGGCTTTGATTTTCCCATCCAGAGAAGTAGAAAATATAAACTGCATAGATATGTCATATTTTTTCCATTAATTACTCATTGATATATGGAAGCAATAACATGATTTTATTATTCCTTATCGGCCCGTTTGTTATAGCTTTAAAAATAACTGAAACAAAATGAGCCCATATCCAATCATCTTTACATAATTGACCCTGCAGTGGAATGACCAAAGTAATCTTAAAGATTATTATTATATTACTTTCTTCTGTAAATGAAAATTCCTTCTGGTTTAACACACTTAGATTGAATATCCTAATGATAATATAGCAAAGATTAGCTTGAAGAGAACAAAAAAGTTCAACTCTTGTCGGCAGTCAAGGAAGGAGCCTAAATCTAGCCATAGCAATAATAAAAAGCAAATCTTTGTGGGTGAGATTTTTACCTGGATATTTTCCTTATGGTGGGGACAAACAGAATAAACTGGTGCTTCATGACCTTCAAAATTTAAAATCTTTCTTCCATTCAAATGCCATACCTGTCACAGTCCTCAAACTTAGTAATTATTGAGACATTCATCTGGCTAAAAGATGTGATAGATAGGAAAGAGAAAATCTATCACCTTAACTAACTTATCATCCCCACAAGTTACAATGAAAGTTTGTTTGTTCAGATAAGAAAATGCCAAGTCATTAACAGCACCGACATGAGCATCAATCTGTAATGAGGTCAAGACATCATCCAATGTCACCAAAAATAAAGCAAAAAACATCATGTACTAATTAAAAAATCTTCATATTAGAGAATGATTCGAGCGTGCCTCCAAAGTCTGCCTTAGATCATTAGATCCTTGATACGCATACACATGAATCAAATGTTTTGTGAAAGCAACCCCTGAAAAAGAAGGGGAAACATGTTATAAACCAGTATAATGCAGCAAACTGAATTCAAGCTTCCCTAAAATACATACCAAGAAGATTTCCATCGAGGCTCCATAATACACGGGTGATAGATATAGATGAATCCTTCACAATTGCAGCCTACACAAGAGTTCCAGTTACATGACTTACATAAGCTAATTTTGTCACTTACTACTACATTGACTTAGATAAAAAAAAATAGCATTCTTAAATAACCCTTACTTTACAATATTCAATTCTATTCCCTTATGTCAATTGTCTAAAGGTCGGTACTGCAAAAGGCAAGGCACCACTACAGACAAACATACTATTTTATGTACTAAGTATTCTTTGGAAAAATATCCCTTTTTAAATTATTACTCTAAAAATCTCTCTTTCTCTATTCCATTTGCAAAAGGCAAGGCTGCACCACTGCAGACAAACAAACTATTTCATGTAAGAAGTATTATTCTTTGGAAAAATATCCATTTTTTAGTTATTTTTTCAAAAAATTTCTTTTTCTTCCTTCCCGCTCCCCTCACCAATTAATCATCTAAATGCTAAAACATTCGGCCTTTTCCTACTTTCTGTCTCACCAACAAACATTTTATACAATCAATTAGTTGAATAATGTTATAAACCTGAAAAAACACAGAACAGGCAGCAATATCCTTTATTTTGAAAGGTTTTGATATCAGCTTCTCTTTCAGCCCTGCTTCCCAGAGTGATATGTCTCCATTTATGCAACCAACTGTTCCAAAAATAATATCCCAAAATCAATATATAACAGCTAAACTTCTTAACAGTACAAGAATATATCAGTCTATTTCAACCTACCGGCAAGTAAAGAATGAAGGGAAGGGTGGAAATCCATGCTTTTCACTGTTGATCCTTGATATAAGGTACAAACCACAGATCTTGGAAGCTCGTCAAGTGACAAAGAAGAGGTTTGTTGTTGGGGTGGTGGAGGTGGATAATTAATCTGCGCAGATTATAAGTACTTGTCATAATAGAAATAGCATTGGCAAGCCAATTATATGGAAAAGAAAGCTTGCAAACAACATTGTATCAGTACCTCGTCCATAGATGACCGCATACGTTTCAATATTTGCTCATGATCATATTCCATCAGTCCAAGATTATTGGAAGGCGTTCTCATGTGCCTAAACATAGAGACTGCAAAAAATTGAATAATAAGTGAAGTTGGGAAATGCAGAGAACACGGAAAATAATATGACTACATAATAAAATTAATATGGTAAAAAGCTGAAGGGGAAACTATATGCACACTATCTTTCTGCCTTACTTGATTTACAACTTTTGAGAATTAGATAATGTCTAGTGAACATATATATGTTACAGATATAACAGAAAACCTATCGGCTTAAGCATACCCCAACAACGTGCACCCTACAACGCCTAAAAAATGAAGCATTTTCATTAGAACCTAAATGTAGGAACACATGCATATACCAGCTCATTAACTACTCGAAGTTTTCCTTATTATGATTGATTTTTCCCAAGCGACAGGACTAGAATGCATGACAGCAAAACTACTCTACCTTGATGTGGGAGACCAGGCATTGACGAAGCAACAAGTGCATGTGGCTGAATTGATGAAGAAGGATTTTGGTTCATCATCCATCCCGCTAAAGCATTAACATTAGCAGTGGTTGGGTTTGGTTGAAATGGCTGTACATAGATGAGTGACAAAACAAATTGTCCCAAATTAACTGTTAGATAACTAACGCTTTCCAAAAAAAAAAGCTGTTACGATAACCAACAGTGGCAGAAATTCAGAATTGAATTTTTAGAACAAGAAAAGGCCTTACTCCACCATGTACTCCAAGCGGAACAAAAGACGAAGGCCTTGCAACAGCTGTGGCAGGAAGATTGACAGGAGTAGATGCACGAGCCCCATTTGACGGTGAACAGCTGTGGTCAGTGAATAGAGTTTTGACCTCTGGATTTGCCTTTGGGTTCTTGCACATCTGGTGTTGCCAATTCAAACTGAATAGAGAAAGTTAGTGAAAGTTAACCGAGAAAGCATGACTAACAAAGCTATAAAAGTAAATCATGTCATTGATGGATGACATTATATGTCATGTCAACAGTTAAACAGTAAGTGAACTGCACAACCATTGTATATTACATCCCATCAAAACTAAAAGTTGAACACAACCAGCAACCTTACCTGTGGTTAATCAGTGTTCGTAACCGTGAGGACTTCATCGAAGGGAACACCAGCTTATCTCTAAGGACAGGATTCGATTCTATCAGTTTCTTAATCTCTAAGAACATTATATTTCGAGCCGCTTTGGTACCAGCATACTTTGACAACTGTTCATTTTCCCTGTACTCAATCAAAAGCCCATGTTTTAAAAAAACAAAACAAAAACAGTAAAACATACTTCTTAAATTTCACAACTCATTCAGCAAAAACCAAACCAGTACCTGAAGTTGTCCAGGGTTATAAGATGAGTAAGTTCTTTGAATAAATCTTCATTAAATTGTGAAAAAACTTTTAAATCCTTCACCAGTATATCAACAGCCTTCATTTTGTCATTCCTAAGCACAAACAAGAAAACTCAGCTACAGAAACAGAATCACAAAAAAAAAACAAAAAACTTGATGATTAAAATAATCATAAAAAGAACCTGTCAAGTGCTTCAAGATACTTCTGCTTCCTAATCTCAAAGAATGTTTTCATTGAGTGTTTATTATCATCAATTTTTATGAAGCCAGAAAGATACTTCTCAATCTCATCCCACTCTCCGGCCAGTGCTTTCTCTTCACAATACTTCATATTGAAGTGATAACCAGATTCTTCCTCCAACCTAAAAACCAAATACACAACAACCACATTCCCAATTCAACACAATTATCAGTTCATCACACACACAAAAAAAAAAAAACAAGTAAAATCAAAATTCAATAATCAACTACAATGAAAGAAAAGTGTTCAATTTACTTGTGAACTGTATCTTTATATTTCTCTTCATCCAGAAATTGAAGAATCAAAAACACCAATTCCCTACTCAAAAGCGACGACATGGTTTCCTCCCAAACAGTTACGATCAAAATGAAAGCTACAAAGATTTATGAATTAGGGTAAAAATCGACCGCGAGAATTATTATCGTTCTGTTTTGTTCTACACGGTACACGTATAATTCTCTACAACACAGTTTCTAGAGTTTGGTTTTGGGTTCCATTGGATTCCATAGACGAAGCAAAACAGAGGGTTGACGAAGCTTTGTTAGAAACAGAAAGTATAGAACAGTTCGAAGAGAAAGCAAAAAAATTAAAAGATAATAAAATAAGGATTTAAAGACCAGAAAAGAAAGTATATATATAGAGAGAGAAAGAGTGAAGTGTGTGACTTGGTTTCTCTCGATTTGTTTTTTGCAGTTGACTTATCAGTGATAAGTAAACGTACTTATCGAATGATGTGATAGGTTAGTGCAATTATTGCTTCGGGAGAAGGTAAGATTGAATGACACGTGTGATTTATGCTGCGACTCTGAGACGCGTGAAAAAACTGAAACACATGATGTCACGTCATGTCACGTCTTTTGAACTTACCATATTGCTATTAGGTTACTTTTTCGGATATTTTAAAAACTGATCCAAAAATGTCGCGTCCTATTTTGATTTTATTGAATATCTATCTAAAAATAATAATATGCTATTAATAAATTAAATTTTATTAAAATACCCTTTTAATCTTTTTATTTAACCGTTTTTGATTTTTGTTTAAATGAGCATAACGTATTGAAGAAAAGAAATATGTATATAAAGAGAAAAATGGGGAATTGGGTATAAACCCTAACCAAAGAAATATGAAAAAACTTATGTTTCTAGCAAACAACAAACAATTGTGCCATCTATTGTGAAGTTGCCAGAAAAGTAAGATGTGGTTCTTGAAGGGCAAGCTAGGTAGCATGGAATATCAATGATGTTTTGGATCAGACTTAGGAGGTTCGGAAATTGTATATGGAAGTCTAAGGTAACTCTCCACTTGGAAAGGAGAATGAAGTCTTGGCAGAAGCCCAATCATGATTCCAAAACTAGCCATCTTGAATTGTGAATGACCAAAGAAAACCAAGGTTAGAAATGTACCTGTGCTTTGTGAGAGGAGATCAAGAAGACAACCATAACTTATTGCAGATAAAGTGAAAGAGACATGTTGGTCATCACTAGGTATAATGGTACAAAAGATTGATTTGGAGCAAAGACATCATAGATTGCGTGGGAGATTCACTTGATGATGTCACATCACTTCTTTTCAATATCATTATTAGCCTACTTTTTCGGATACTTTTTGCTAAATGTGTTCAAAAATCTATAATCTTATTTTGTGCTAAATACATTTTTTTTAATTCATTCTAAAACAAGTAAGAAGTACTATTTAAGTAAATTCTTAACTATAAAACTATTTTTTATTTTTCTTATTTTTTGGAATTTTTTAAAATAGAAATTTTATGTTTAAAAGAATTATTTTAATTTTTTGTAAAAAATGATTATATTCTCATATTTCAATTTTTAACATTTATCAGGATATATAGTTTACATAGTTTTATCAAGTAGGACCACTATAACAGTCAAAAATGGGAAAATATACCTGCACTCTGATACAGCTAATGTTGTTAGCCTTACTTTTTGGCATTGTTGCTTGTCTTTGTGCTCTGAATATTTGTATAGCTCTAATATAATATAAACGCATATTTAGAACAATGTCACATAATAAATAAAGATATATAATTATTCAGAACAATATATCTCATCACTTACGTATCAATCATATTTTTTATATCAGGATATTTTGTTTGATCGCCATCAAATGAATCCAGATAATACACTATTTCTTTCATCAGATTAATCGCGACCAACAACCAGCGTCCACTATAAAATAAGACAACAGTTTAGACGGAAATGTTATATAGAATGGAAAAAATTGAATAATTATAATAAATGAATTTAGAATGAAGTCATACCCATGGCCAGTATTATATGGCAACAAGAACAACTTCTTTGTAGTCGCGACCATAAATCTTTGGACTACAAAACTCAATAGCTTCGTCAACAATGTATCGTTCAACAATACATCCCTCTGGTTGACTTTGGTTTTTCACATACCCTTTCAATATTTTCATATAACGTTCAACAGGGTACATCCATCTCATATAAGCTGGTCCACACAATTGTGTCTCTTTCACAAGATGGACAACTAGATGTACCATTATGTCAAAAAATGATGGAGGAAAATACATTTCAAGCTCACACAAAGTAATAACTATTTCTTTTTGCAATGTTGGTAAGATCACAAGATCGATCACCTTACTACAAATTGACCTGAAGAAAAAACACAATTTAGTTATTGCGCCTCTCACTTTTTCTGGAAAAATAGAACGTATACCTATTGGTAGAAAGTGTTCCATTATAACATGGCAATCATGTGTCTTTAAACTCTTTAACTTGAGGTCTTTCATAGAAACAAGTCTTCTAATATCTGAAGAGTATCCTTCTAAAACTTTAACTTCATCTTTTTCTCCTTTCTAGATAAAGTATAAGCAGCAGGTGGTAGATATGTGTGATTTCCTTTCTTCAAGGGTCCTAATTCATTTCTTATTCCCATTGCTACCAAGTCCTTTCTTGCTTTAAGGTCATCCTTAGGATTTTCTTGTATATTAAGTAACGTACCAATAACACTTTCAAATACATTTTTTTCAATATGCATAACATCAAGAAAATGTCTTACATACAACGACTTCCAATACGACAACTTAAACAAAATTGACCTCTTCTTCCACCCACGCGTGACAAGCGTATGAGCAAAAGGCTTGCCAAACTGAGTACTCACATCTTTCACCTTTTCAAAAATTTGTTTGTCGGTCAATGTAGGTGGAACTCTACGTTGTTCTGAATTTCCATTAAATGTTTTTCTCCACCCACGGTAGTGATGATTAGAATTTAAGAATCTACGATGACCAAGAAAGACATTCTTCTGACCAAATTCCAACCGTGTCCAATCTGTGTTTTCTTCACAGATAGGACACGCACATTGACCTTTAATGTTATACCCCGATAGATTTCCGTATGCTGGAAAATTATTAATTGTACCAAACAACATCGCCCTCAAATTGAAACTTTCTTTCCTATATCCATCATAAACCTCCACACCGTTCTCCAACAAACACTTTAAGTCTTCGATTAAAGGTGTCAAGTATACGTCTATGTCGTTCCCTAGTTGTTTAGGGCCAGAAATTAACATAGATAACATCATGTACTTACGCTTCATACATAGCCATGGAGGTAAGTTATAAATCATAATAATTACAGGCCAGGTGGAATGTGAGATACTTTGCAGACCATGCAGATTCATTCCATCGGTCAATAATGCCAAGCGAAGGTTTCTAGCTTCTTCTCCAAAATTAGGATACTCATTATCAATTTTCATCCACTGTGGTGAATCTGTCGGATGTCGATACTTCCCATCTATAATTCTATCATATGCATGCCAAGTAAGGTGTTTTGCATCTGTTTCACTATGAAACATGCGTCTAAATCTCGGAATTATAGGAAAATACCATAAAACTTTTGCTGGTGACAACTTTTTCTTATACCGAGATACACCGCATTTAGGACACTCGTTTAATGATGCATATTCATTTTGAAACAAAGTGCAATCATTTGGACAAACATGTATCTTATCATAGCTCATGCCAATAGAGCATAACATTTTTTTAGCTTCATAGGTTCGATTGGGAAGAACATTATCCTCTGGAAGCATCTCTTGAAGTAGGGCTAACAACTCTGTGAAACTTTTATCCGACCATCCATTACCCGCCTTTAAGTTGTACAACTTTAATACCGCAGACAATCTTGTGAAAGTAGTGCAACCTTTATACAACAGTTTCTCTGCATCGCTTACCAGCCTCTCAAACATCTTGCGAAAATCTTGAAGATCTTCTTCAAGTGCTTTTGCAATCTCTTCGACTCGATCACAATCATATGTATCTCTGCCATTGTCCTTTGAAGCATAGGTCGTATTATCCCAAGGTTCGACATTCTCGTTACTTATCTCACCATGTAATGTCCAACATGTATAACTTCGATCAATTCCATGTCTCATTAAATGAGATTCCAACTGAACGACGTCAATTCGACGCCCATAACAGCAATCTAAGCAAGGACATGTGATCCTACTGGGGTCTTTGGCGTGTTCAACAACAAACTTAACGAATTTCGATACCCCATTCTCGTACTCTTTAGACAATCGATTGGAAGACATCCATTTTTTATCCATACTAATTGAGTAGTCTAAACTAAACTAAACTAAGAAAGTTAAACAAATACAGAGAATACCTGTAAAGAAATAAATAACTTCTAAGAAAGCTACATAGTAGGATGCTTGAAAACGATCACAACCTTGCTCTTCACAGGTAACCCCTATAACAGACAAAATTAATAACATCATCAACATTAAATAATTCTTAGAACATCAATTGTTGATAAAACTTGTAATAAAATTAATTAATTTGCAATTTATATGGCTAAAGAGGTCATGAATGAATATTACTTGGATACTAACTTTTCATTATTAAATTTAAAATTATGATAACCCCAAATATTTTAGTAAATTTAAAATTATGGTTGAGTTTATATTTATCTAAAATTCATCATCATTATAATTCTCACATTCATCATCATCACTACCTTCTCAAATGCAACACCAACATTAATCACTTAGTTTCAACCACAAATGAATCAGTCTTCTATGCTTAACCACACTCAACAACATGTAAACAATTTTATTTTCTCTCATCTTTATTTATTTATTCCAAAATATTAACTAAAAGTGTATATATACATATGTATCAGTAGAATGAGACTAAACATGGTGGCAGTTGCAACTACATGGTAAATATAAAGACAAGCTGCAATTCTCCATCATTTACAAAAGATGAAATCAGTCTTTTATTTGGAGATGCTCATGACTCACAGGTTTATGTTCCAAGACTGGATGATCCTGATTCTGGAACATTCTTGAGGA